ACCTTTCGCGCCCCAAAGAGGCCCCACGGGGGCCCCCTGGGCCACAGAAGGTCCGCGACAAGCGCGCGCCACCCCCGCCCTCCACACTACCGCCCCCAAGTAGTTAGCGCCCAGGACTTGCCGGCCATTGGGGGGCTGCACATGCCGCGGCGCACGTCGGCCCAGCTGCCGCGGAGCTGATCGGGCCCCGCGCAGACCGCCCGCCGCTCCGGGTTGGAGCTCGACGAAGTCGAGCTTCATGAGTTTGTGCGCCGTTTCCAGAACACGGGCGCATGCCCCGATGGGCCCCCTATATTCAGCCCGCGCCCGCGCTGGCACGGCTGCCTTGATTGCCATTCACCGCGCGCGCCGGGGCGCTCTGGGTCGCGGCGAGCCCCCCGAAGGCTTCAACGACCCCCTTCCGGGATGTTCCTTTCGAAAGGTACTTTTGATCCAGATAACGAGCGCGTTCAGAGCCTCCTCTGAGATATTCGCCCCCCGTGGCTCAGCAACGCTGACGACGACATTGCCGCCCTTGCCAACGACGCGCCACCTCAGGGGGTTCGCGACGGCATCAGTCATGATCGGCAGGGGGGTTCGATCAAAGGGGCACACGTTAGCAGCATTCTTGAGTCGGAGACTCGCGCCGCGCCGCGGTGGCGCCAGCTCGGCGAGGACGAGACAGGCTTCGCATGGTGCAACATTCGCGCTGCTTCCCCCCTGGGCTCCACGCGTTGATTTTCACAGTTTTGAATTGCCTGGGCTTCTCTGAGTACGTCGTCTGTGCCATCGCTGACTAGTCGGGGCGCAAAACAGGGTTGCCCCTCGGCGGTTCCATGTGCTGCTTGGCTTTACGCGCACTTATCCACGCGATGGTTTTCGTTGGTTACCCGGCTGCGAAGTTCGCCTCGGAGTTGGTCGATGGCGTTGGCATGATTTCGCGGGGAACGCACGCCAGTCTCTCGTGGTGCTAGAGAAGGTCCACTTAATTGCGCGCGCGACTGGCCTTGTTTTTTAATCGGCAAAACGGAGATAGCGCCCTAGAGGCCCCCCATCCGGGGCGCGGGCACTCGGAGTGCCCATTTCCAGATTTACACCAGTGCCGTTTCAGCCACGGCGTTCCCTGGAGGGCTCTGATTCAGGAATTCCCAGGGCGGTCTCTGGCGGCCCAAACTTTGGGCCCGGAGCCCAAAAAAAACGCGGGACAATGCAACGTTCGATTCTTGCCTGTCGCAGGCCATGCGACGCGGCTGCTCGCTCCGATTTTATTTCGTTAGTGGTACCGTTGCTGGGCGCGCCGCCCTTCAGACGCCTGGGCGAAGCCCTCAGAACTTGCTATCCGACGGCATACTGCCCATTATGATCCCAGCCTGGTTTTGCGAGCCAGGCTCGGAAATTGCACTCCGCAAGCACTGCAGCTAAGTGCCGCGTTGCCATCAATTCTTTTATTTTCCAGCAAGGACCTCGCCATCTGCAGGATAATGGAAGCCCTGACGCTTCGCGTAACCCTGCCAGCTGATTGCTTACCACGTCTGGGCATTCCGACGGCATGTTGGACACGCAGCCCACAGCCATCGTCCTCACGGTCCGTTTGGGTTTTGCCAGGCACATTTTGAATTCACCCGCATTTTGCCGTGTTTGCCGTGTTGCAAGTGCTCGAGCACCCTGGACGCCCCCAGCTTGCCGCTCCTCTCGCGCAGTCAGCCGCTGCTGGATGAGTGGGCCAGCCGGCTCGCGGCGCGTTCAGTTGCTAATTAGGCCGCTGTCGTGACCCGTAGCGCTTCTGACTCCGCTAGCGCCTTCGCTAGCGGACGCGACCGAAAAAGTAACCCTGCCAGCCCATCCAGAGACGAGGCCCAGAGGAGTTGCCTCGATCAGGGAAGTGGACAGCACGCAGAGGAAGGGGCCCTCTTGGAACGATCTTGTGTGCCTCCGGGAGCCTCTTGGGTTTTTTTGTTGGGGGTCTCTTGGAGGCCTCTTGGGCGCCTCTTGGAGCCTCCTGGGCGTTTCTCGGGGCCCTCTTGAGGCGCACTCGGGAGCCTTGGAAGCGTTCTTGGGGCCATCACGGAAGAGCTCGAGCAAAGAAGGGGGTCCTTCATTAGCCCCCCCCCCCCCGGATGCCCCCCAAATCGCCTTTCGGGCTCCTCTTGGAAGGCTCGTGGGGCGCGGTTGGGGCCGTCTTGGGGTTCTCTTGGGCCTCTCTTGGGGTCCTCTTGGGCCCTCTTGGAGGTGTCTTGAAGCCTCGGATGGCCATCGGAAGCGAATAGGCGAGAAGGCGAAATTTATTGATTGCCCTTTGGTCGTTGAAGGATGTTGGCCTCTTGGCGGCCTCCTGGGGGGGTTCCGTGGTCATCAGGAGCCGCCTTGGAGCGGTCGTGGGGCTTCTTGGGGCATCCTGGGAGCCATCTCGAGCCATCTCGGGCTATTGGGTTGGCCTTTGGCCAGTGCCGCCGATCCGGGGGGGGTGAGAGCGAGCCGTCTTGGACATTGTGAAGGCCCAAGAGACGAATATACCGAAATTATACGTTTTCCCGAGGGAATGGGTCTCTTTGTCAGTTTTTTGGTATTATTGGAAAGTGTCGTGAGGGATCCAGGGGACGTCTTGAAGGTTTCTGGAACTGTCTTCGGGGCGTACTGGGCGGTTCGAGCGATGTTTCGGCGATCCGGGGCCCTCTTGCATTGTCTAGGGGACCTCTGGGGCCTCTCTTGGCTTCCTCTTTGGCTGTCTTGGGCGGTCGGGGCTCCGGAAGTGGAGTTTTCTATACACCCCTGTCCCCGGGTACCGAAAAACGTCGGAAATGACGTCGGAAATATCCACGTGTACCGAAAAACGTCGGACATGACGTCGGAAATAAAGTACGCCCCCCCCCGTGCAGAGCGAAGCTTGAGCGAGCTCAAGTCCACCGAAAAACGTCGGAAATGACGTCGGAAATATCCCCGTGCACCGAAAAACTTAGGAAATGACGTCGGAAATAACGTGTCCTTCCCCCCCCCTGCAGAGCGAAGCTTGAGCGAGCTCAAGTCGTCCACGCTCTCAGAAACTTACACGCCGGATCGGCGGATATTGTGCCATCTTGGAGGGCATCTCGGGCTCTCTGAGGCCCTCTTGGAGCAGTCCTGGGCCATCTTAGATGCCCTGACTGCTCGCAAAGCCCCCCCTCCCCTGGGCAGGGGGAGCGGGAAACACCTCTCCGAAGAAGGAAAAAGGGGGCTGGATGAGAAACCGCCCTAGACCACCTACGCCCAGAGGGCAGGTGGGAGTAGCCGCGGAAGCTCGATGCCTCTAAGGCCCCCCAAGATGTACCGCCAAGTCCCAGAAAGCTTCGCAGAGCGCCTGTGAGATCCCCGCGGCCCTTCATGTTTGTCCCAGGCGCAGCTTTCAGCGACACATTGATACTATATCCCAGAATGCTCGCGGCAAAATGTGCCGCGCGCCGCTGTCTGCTGGCGTCTGCCAGTGAATGCTCGACGCCTCAGAATCGGGCATGGACACTTTCGTAGTTGTCCGAGGACGTTTCTCGGAGTTGGCCCCGCTTTCTACCCTTGTCTCACCGAGCGCGCTCCACTACTCGCAAAGTGCTTACTCGCAAACGTCCCAAAAACGCATGTCCGTTTCGATGTAATTTGCCGTAGATTCCCCGCAGCGGATCCAGGCCATTTGCGAGTAGTCATTTTGCGAGTAGTGGAACGCGTTCGTCTGGTGTCAGCTCTTCGAGGGCAGCATGCAGCTTCAAGTACCCTGCGCGCCCCCCCTGGCACCACAGATTCCTGTGGGCTTTAGCTCGCTCTGCCCTCGGCGGCCATGACACCATGCTCGTGCTCGAATGCCCATCTACGAGCGAATACATTGATATACCTATCTATATATATGGCTTTTTTTTAACTCAGAAGAGCGACGAACGACATGTGCTCGAATGCCTTGCCTCCGATCGCGGTGCTCGCCTTCTCCCTTCGTGTCCCCCCTCTGTTGCTGGCGCCTCGGCTCTGGGCCGTCTGCTGTTCTACCCTCTCGGCCCGCGCTCCCATCCTCGGCCATCAGCGGACGCCCTCAGGCTGAAAAACAAGTACTACAAGCCCAAGGGAATGGGTCGAGACCTTCGGGGGTCGACGGTGCTTCTTACTTAAACAAAATGACGTCGGGGTCTGGGTGCGTACCGATCTCCGCCCCCGAACTTCCCCCCAGGAACAGAAAAAGAGTCCAGGTGTGCAGAGGAAGCGGGAGCGCGCACGTGGAGAACAAGTTCGCGTAAAGCCACGAGGGACTTGACCGTGACGCTCTCGTTTGCGCGAGGGCGGGGAAGAGGCCGACGAGGAGCAGCCTCTGACCGGTGCGCGACACGCGCGCTGCACGGAGCGATTTGCCGATGAGGTCGATCAGACATTAAAATATTTTTTCCCCAGAGGAAGTTTGAGTGCGGGCCCATTGGGGTCCCCCCATCCCCGAACGCGAGGCGGCAGTTGCAGCTTGCACCTTTTCTTTTTGGCCCCCCGCTGCCCCCAAAAAGCCGCGCACCAAAGGTCACTCTTACCTTGGGCCACTCCGCATGATAAGGATGAGAGACGTTCCCGAGGGCACCCTTGCATCCCTCCCTCCTCGGTTCATCCTTGGCCACTTTCGTGGGCCGCGCCCCGCTCGAAAAGCGTCGAAGTGGGCGTCCAAGGCCCCTGCATCCTTACCGCGTATCCCTGTGATACAGTGGAGGCCCACGCCAAGAAACACCCTGTCTGCTTGCCTCGGCCCCCTGGGTTTCTTGGGTTTCGATGGCTTTGCTGTGGACAGCGTGGCGTTCCCACATCAATAGCCAACGGACGTCCTGGGGTCTCAGGGTTGGGTTTCCTGTGGAAGGTTTCTTGTGGTCGGGCCTCCACGATACGGGCCGACTGCAGCCAGTGAGGAGCTGAGGAGCGGTGGGGCGGAGGAGCGCCAGGCGAGAGGGCACGAGCAGCCGCAGCCGCGGCAGGGCGGCAGGGCAGCCGCGGCCGCGGAGCTCGAGGCCCGCCCCCCCCCCCCCTCGTGGCAGGCGGCCCTGCTGGCAGCAGCCCCGCCGACGCCGCGGCGGGGGCAGGCCGCGGAGGCCGCCGGCGTGCTTGCGGTGCGTGGACCGCCGGCCGCGCCAAATCGGAGGAGGAGGAGGTGCCCATACCTCTGCCCTTGCCTCGTTTTCCCCCTTCGGGGGGCCTCCTGGGCGGCCCTTGTCGCCACCGCTGGATTCGCCTCGAAATTCTGGTCAGAACGCAACCCCGGGAGAGGTCCCGGGAGTAGCGGTATCAGTACCTCTTGGTTTCCCCAGCCAGCAGAGGGGTGGGCCCCCCCGCTCCCGCCCCCTCGCCCCCGGCCCGCCTGCGTTTGTGCGCTTCGCGCTCCACGGGCGTGCCATCGCCCGCCGAGGCGCCGCCGCGGGCGCGGCGGGGCGCACCCAGGGGGCGCGCGGAGGAGCGAGCGACGAGCGAGGGCAGGCGGCGGCGGCCCAAGCCAGCAGGGAAGCCAGCAGCGAAGCCAGCAGCAGGCAGACGGCAGCCCGGCCCGCCTGCGGCGCATTCCCGCCTGGCCCTGCCCATGCATGGCCTGGCCCCTCCCGCCTCCCGTCTCCGTTCCGCCTCCCGTGCCTTCTCCCGCCCCGCCCCCCTCGCTGCTCCGCCTCCGCCCCCCGATGGGGCATGGCCTGGGAAAGCGGCCTGCCCCTGCCCCTCCTCGGCCCCCCAGAAGAGCAGAAGGCCGCAGAGGCACAAATGCTGCGGCGAAGGGTTTGGGGCCCCTGCCGGCCCCAGGACCTGTCTGAGAGCGGCTCCAGGCGGAAGCCTGGGTCATGGAGAACTGGTCGAGATCTCCAAGGGTCGGCATGTGAAAGTTACGACGTAGGGTTTCAATTCTCTCAGTGCACAGAGAATTCCTGGAAAAAGCCTTTTGAACACCAGGTTGTGTTTCCAGCTGGTATAGAATTTCCATTCCAAAAGGTCGCGAAAGGCTTCGTTTTGCGCGTTGGACGTAATTTGTCTTTTGTTTTCCAGGCGGAGAGAGCCTGCGCGTCAAGCCGGCCACGCCAGCGTTCTTTTTGCACTGCACATGCCCCCGTGCGCTGCCCGTGCTCCGAGGGTGCTTTTGCGTCCCGCCTCTCGCGTACCGGCGCTTGCTGCAGCGGCTGCGGAGGAGCGAAGGTGGAAAAGAGGTGGAGCGCGATTCCCTTGGAGGCGTCCCCACTGCGGTTGACGCGCCTCTTCATGCACACACTTTTTTTGTTGGTCGGCGGGGCGAGAGCGAACCTCTTCCGCTAAAAGCTAGGCGGGCTACGCACAGCTTTAATTAGGGAGACAGGGCACAGGCGGGCGGGCCTCAGGCGGCCGGGGTGGACGGGGCCCGGGGTGCAGGCGGTGCCGAAGTGCTTGCACAGGAAAAGGTACGCCGCGGACGATCTCTCTTCATGCACACACGCGGCGGCGTCTATCTCGTGCAGCACCGCTATCTAAAAATGTTGGTTGTCTTCAAAGGGCTGGGTGGAATCAATACGTTTGCATCCCTGACATCATGAGCACGAATGTGGTATCACATTGCAGGCGGACTTGTTTTTTATTGGAGGCGCACGTGTGGCGTGTTGGAGTGCGGCAATTTTTTAATCAGCAAACGCAGGCGCAGTCCAGGTCGGCGCCAGGCTTCAGCAGGCTGCGCAGAAACGACCGGGCGTTGTGCAGGAGAGAGGCAGGGCGAATGAGGAAGCAGCCGCATAGGCAGTAGGCAGGGCCAGTGCCACGTGCCTCCCCCTTGACGAGCCCCACCTGCCCCTTCGGCCGGGCACCTCGTCCGGCCCCGGGCGCCCCGCAGGACCGCTGCTGAGCGAGTTGAAGCAGAAGCCGCCCCCGCCAGCGCCGCCAGAGTCTGGCCTCCAGAGGCCCCCCCTCCTGCAGCGCGCACGCTCGTCGCGCAGGGGGAGCAGGGGTCAGCCTGACGGAAGCGGGTCCTGGAGAACAGGAGTCTTGGGGCGTTTTTCTCGTCGCTGGGTCCTCAGGGACCTCCACGTGCCCAGGGGCCGTCAAAAGACGACTCGGGGTGGAGAACTGGTTCCGGGGAAAGCCTGGGAGTCCATGACCCGTTTCCCTCAGGACCTCTTTCTTTCGTGGCGAACGAGGAGCACAGGAGTAGGAAGAGGAGGAGGAGGAGGAGGAGGAGGAGGAGGAGGAGGAGGGGCAGGAGGACGGAGACGAGGACAAGGAGGGAAAACGAAGTCGAAACGTTGACACGCCCAGGGCTGCCTACACCGCACGTGCCAGCGCTGCAGGCCACCCGCTCCTCCTGAAGTCCCTCCTTGTCTGACCCCATGCACGTTCAGGACCCCATCCTCCGCCTCCCCCTCTCCTTGCCTGCACCTGCTGATGTGTTTCTTCCTCATCTTCCCTCCTCCCCGTCCTTCCTCGTTTTCCTGCTCTTGCCCCGTTCTTCTCCTCCCCCCTCGTCCCAGTCTCGCGAGGACCCCTCCTTGGGCCCTCGCGGGCCTTGGGACCCGGCGGACGAGGCGAGAGGTTGTGGACAAACCCCCGATCTTCATTGGGTGCGAGCGGGAGGACGTGGAGCAAGTAAAACACAAGGTGGGGGGAAGACGAGGAGGAGAAGAAGGAGGAGGAGGAGGAGGAGGAGAAGAAGAAGAAGGAGGGCGCAGGATGCAACATAGAACGAGGAAACATTTGAAGACGCCACCATGCCTATAGAAAGTGGGCACACCACCAAGAGGGGCGTGCAGGCAAGAGAGATCCTCACCGCCAGGGAAAACCCAACAGGTTAGACACCGAAGGAGGTGCCAGAGATTCGGTGGCGATCGCCAGCAATCAGATCGCGTGCCCTGCGACGGGCAAGGTCGGGAGGCTCCGAGGGGCAGCCGATGGTCAGCGAATCGAGCTTCGCCGAGTCGACAGCGACCCGAGCCCAGCAGTAGAGGCAGAAGAGGGGGCCCGCTCCCTTGATGCGGTACCCTGATATTCCGGCGGAGGCGGAGAAGAATGATGAGAGGGAGAGAGGAAGAGGAGAGGAGTTGGGAGTGGGGGGCGGAAAGGCGAGGAGAGGGAAGGGCCTGGAAAGGTCAACTAATCGAAGAACAAGCACGAGAAGGGAGGGACAGGAGAGTAGGAGGAGGAGGAGGAGGAGGAGGAGCGGCATGAGGAGGAAGAGGAGGAAGAAATGATGAGAGGGGGGAAATCAGATTAGGAGACGGAGGGAGGAGGAGAGGGGGAGAAGGTGGAGGGGGAGCAAGAAAGTGAAGATGAGGAAGGACGACGTGGACGTCAGGTAAGAAAGCGAGGAGAGAGAGGAGGCTGGGAGGGAGGGTGGCAGCGAGGAAGGTTTGGAGAGGGAGAAGGGTAGGGAGGCGAGGGAGGAGGAGGAGGAGGGAGCGAGAGCGGGAGCCACGGGGCCGACTCCGGAAGCCCTGAGCGCGCCGGCGCCGACCTCTCTTGGGGAGGTGCACGTCGGCCTCCACCGGCAGAGCCCCCGCGGACCCTCCCCCGGGGCTTCCGCCGAGGGCGAGGGGTCGAGCCCGTCGGCCCTCGTGGGCGAACTGCCGGTCTCGGTGGCAGGAGCTGCCGCCCGGGGCCGTGGCCAGCACAGGCAGCGGGGCGGGCCGAGGGCCGTGGCCGGGGGCGCGCGAGGGTGGGGCCAGAGGGCAGGGGAGGGAGAGGGGGAGGGGGAGGGGTGGAAGTCTGCCGCGGGCGCCTGGTTTCGGCCCTGCCGCTGGGCCCCGCCCTCGATGCGTGGGCGCCTCCCAGCGCTTCGAGGTGCCAGGGAGGGGAACCAGCCTCGTGAGCTGGCTTGGCTCGCTGCCCTACCCTCTGCTATCCTGCCCTGTTCGTCCGCCCCGAGAGGAGCCGGGCGGGGCCAGGTCTCGGCGGGACTACCCCAAGGGCGCGCACGGGCGGCTGGCGCGGAAGATCGTGCTCGGCTTGCCGACGGACGTGCCGCTCGGGGACCCGGCGTGGGGAGCGACGGGAGGAGTCCTGAGGAGGAGACGTCGCTGTTGTGCCCACCTCGCTTTGCTGTCGCGGGCACCCCGTACCTCGCCCTTCATTGCCCTTCTGCTTCCCGGTGTGGGCGCACTGCCCGTGTGTACAGCATGCTGTGTTCATGCGCGTGTGTGTGTGTGTGTGCGTGTGTGCGTGTGTGCGTGTGCGTGTGTGTGAATGTATGGTGTGCGTTGGTGTGTGCGTGCGTGTGTGTGTCGGTGTGTGTTGGCGTGTGTTGGTGCGTGTTGGTGTTTAGTGTGTGGTGCTTGGTGTGTGGTGTGTGGTGTGTGGTGTGTGGTGGTGGTGTGTGAGTGTGCTTTGTGCTGTGTACTTGTGTGTTGTGGCTTGTCTGTTGTGTGTTTGTATTATTGCGTGTTGTGTGTTGATGGGTGGAGGTGTTGCGTGTTATGTGTCGTGGGTTGTGGGTGTGGTTTGTGTGTTGTGTGGTGTGGTGTGGTGGTGGTGTGAGTGTTGTGTGTGTGTTGTGTTGGTGGTTGGGTTGTTGTGTGTTTGTGCTTGTGTGCTGTGTGTTGTGTGCTGTGTGTTGTGTGTATGTGTGTTGTGTGTTGTGTGTTGTGTGGTGTGTGTGTGTTGTGTGGTGGGTGGTGGGTGGTGTGTGGTGTGTGGTGTGTGGTGTGTGGTGGTGTGATGGTGTGGTGTGGTGTGGTGTGTTGTGGTGTGTTGTGTCGCGTTGTGTGGTGTGGTGTGATGTGTTTTGTGGTGTTGTGTGGTATGTTGTGGTGTTGTGTGTGTTGTTGTGTGTTGTGGTGTGGTGTGGTCTGTTGTGTTGTTGTGTGGTGTGGTGTGGTTTTGTGTGGTGTGGTGTGGTGTCGTGTTGTGTGTTGTGATGTTGTGTGGTGCTGTGTGTTGTGTGGTATGCTGTGGTATGCTGTGCTGTGCTGTGGTGTGCTGTGGTGTGGTCTGTTGTGTGCTGTGTGGTGTGGTGTTGTGTGGTGTTGTGTGGTGTTGTGTGGTCTGTTGCGGTGTTGTGTGTTTTTGTGTGGTGCTGTGTGTTGTTGAATGGTGTGCTGTGGTG